GGGAAGATCAACAGGAGATTCTTATGACTTCCACTATGCAACACGAGGGGTTTGGAATTAGATGACCTTCCACCCCACTAGAAATATAGTTTTCTTTTGGATACATGATCTTTCGTTTGCATTTTACAATTGGTGATGAGGGAGTGTAATGTCTAGAAACACTGAGCCAATATTATAGACATTTCGCCAAGGGACAATGACAAGCACTTACAGGGAAAGGGAGATTGAAGTCTTGTCACGCTGCAAATCCTTTTTGCTCCAATCTTCTGTTGTTGACATGCCTTTGCTACCAGATCAAAATGCCCAATATGGGTACGTGTTCGTGAGTGTAGAAGGCTTTGGGTCCCAGATAAAAGGATCGAACTTTGCATCAAGTAAACAGGGCCGAAATATCGAGTATTTTATACGAGAAATAGTATATAAAAGTGTGGCAATTCGCAACAGATAAGATTCTTGCAACACTTGTGAGCCCAGTCCCGACGGAACTGGAACAGCTCTTTCGGGCTTTGCAGCCTGGAATGTGGATCGTTCACCCGAGCTTTTCTTCGCTTTTCGTATTAAATATACTTTTGAGTTGTTCATACTTGTCGTCTCGCCTGTCTTTGTGAACTGGTTAAACAATTAGAAGATGTGCTATCGTAAAACATGCAAACAATTGTGGGAGGTGTTCCTTTTTTGTTTACTTTGCTTTTTTTCGTGGAGTGTGTGGGGGTGGGGTCGTCTTGCTCTTGTGTCCAAGTACACGAAGTTGCATTGATGGGAAAGTATAAGATATTTAATCTTTGCTTGGGGCTTTTAACATTTAGAAGTTGGCGAATCGCTTTGTGCAAGATTCGACTTCTCTCGCCCTCTCGATCGCATGACAAGGAGGTTTTAAGTTTAAATCCAGGACACCCACGGGTCGCCACCGCCTCCACCACGTTTGGGAAAACAAATCAAGCTCTCTATTCAAAGGAAGATTCTTCCTCTAGAGCTTGATTTGAAGTAAAACAATGGCCCCCAACCCCACAATCCCCACCATGCTGATTGAATCATTCCTCTTGTCTTGCACTGCAGCATGTACCACTAGCAACAACAGCACAAAAACAACTGATATGGAAACTGGAATCAAAATGACAACTGACATTATGGTCTTGGTCATGCATGTTCAACAGAAGCTTAGTGATTTTGTTCCGAGTGATTAGCTTTCATTAGATTGAGAAATGAGCTACATTATGAAGGGTGGTTTTCAACACCCTCTTGGGTATGGTATGGTACACACCATCAGTGTGTGGAAGCTATTACCTAGTACTAGGTAGGCCTACCTTGATGTTCATGCAAAGGTATAGGAAAATAAAAAATAATTGAATAAAGAAAATTAAGCCGGCTAGAAGCATTAAGAAACAACAGCTGCTCTTCCCCACAAAACAGTCACAGTCAGTCAGGAAAGATAGTTTGAGTGTTGTTAGGACTTGGTGTCTGATCCTACTTTATTAAGCACTGATTTTAATTTCCTGGGTTCTTAAGAAGCTCGCTAGTACATATAGGTAAGGGTGGCAGAACTGCCTGGCACATTTGCCTGCCACACTACTGACCACTGTGCTCCATGACTGTACTGTACTGAAGGCACTGCACTGCCTGCTGTCCAATTTTAACATGGATTTGATTGAGACAACCCAATTTCTCCTCCATCCACTTCACTTCTTTTTCTTTGTCCACCTCTGTTGAAAAGTTTTAGGTCATTCTCGCTGGCTTTGCTTGGTTGCTGCACTCTGCTGCACTCTGCAACTGGAACTGCAACTGCATTGCCTTCCCTTAGATCTCCATCCATCATAGCATACACATGCAAGCCTCTCACATATACATGCATTATAAAATACAGTTGAGTACTTCCAGCAAGTTCAGGGGAAAGGCAGTGTATTCTTTTGAATTCTACTTGATTATTTCTTAAAGATGGCAAACGAGTACAACGAAATTCACTATTGTATTGCTGTCATAAAAATTAAGCTATGCCATGAAAACCAAGAAAACCATGTGGGCCGACTTAATGATCGTAGCCGTATACGAGTAGCCATCTAGGTGTATATGGACTGCTCGTATGTGCCACAATAGATCGTATTGAAGTGCGGTCAAAGCAAGTAAATCTAAGGGAAAACCCCTCCCCGCACTCGTAGCGTTTACCATATTTACTTTCCTGTCTATGTATAGCTACAGTATACAAAAGTATGATCGGGGACTCGGCACGAGCGGTGATTACGTCACATTTGCTAAAATCGAACACCTCTTAATCCCGGGCATTATGTTTGACAAAGATCTTATGTCACGCAATTCCTCACAATCTTCACAAAGTTGACGCCGTCTCGATTACATTTTTTCGCTTCTTTTCGTAAAGCTCTTGAGTTCCCAAGGGCCATAGCCTCTAATGATGGTGTAGTTCTATGACTATCTATCTGTCTATCTTGTTGATCTCATTGGTCATAGCTCGCTCTTCTTTTGAGACGTTTTTATTTTGCGCTCTCGTCCGTCCCGTGCTTGTTTGTTTGTGTGGGTATGTGTGTTGAGGGGAAGAACAACAAAAGTTTCACGGAAACCCGAGTCAGGTTTCCCACAGCATCATTTTGCTTCAGCTGCCTGCTGATACCATGCTGATGCAATCCATCAATCACTCCAGAGAGGAGACGCCTTCAATTCTCTCAGACTTGAGTTCAGACTCACACACACACACACACACACACACAACTCACCCACACAGATGCAAGAAATTATATGCCAACCAAAGAGAGACCAAACCTCAAACAAGCAGCAAATCAACAAGAAAGATCTCTCCCTCTGAAGGCACAGACAAGACACTGGAACTGGGTACCAAAAAGGAGTACCCATCTCCCCATGCCCTTCTATTTGATATTTTTTTTATTCTGCCATTGCACCAGGCCGTCTGCCTGGTGAGGTGATTCTTCTGCAGAAGTTGGAACTGAACCAATTTGATGATGGCTTTTCTTTTTGGGCTTGCTAAGTTGCAGCCAACTTTGGCTGCATTCATGCACATATATGTGTGCTCCCCTGTTCTTGGGCCATACTGCCAGGTGCCAGCCCAAGTGGAACAGATCTTGACATAGTGAGGTTGTAAAAGTACAGCGCTGTACTCAGGAGTGTTGCCTTTCGTTCCTGTTTTTGACCCGCACAAAACCTGCTGGTTTTCATCTCACAACATGCTTTGGCTGGTGTTACGTTGATTGATTGAAGCATTTTACCGGAAACGGCGTGTCGCGTACCTTTTCAAAGCAAGTTCTTTGGATTGGAACTGTTGATGGAATTTTTTACAGCCCCTCCCCACTAGATATAAGGCGAGACGTGAGCATGACCGCAACCTATCTCTCTGCAATCCACAGCATGACAACGCAAACTCATTAACAAAGTAAACGATTTCCAGAGAATCAAGCAGCTGCAGGAGAGCGCACGATCCTTATATCCACAATCAGAGTTCAACATGTGATTCAATGCTTTTTCTCGGCAAGGGACGAATGAGCTAGAAAACAAGCAGGCATGCCGGGGGAGACGAACGAAAAATAGAAACGGGGTGCTATGGTAGCAATCCCGCTCCATGATCCGGTATCTCAGTCTTAAAGCAAATAAAACAAAACCAGTGCAAGAAGAAAAAACGGAGAGGATTGTCTACCTTACCAATCAAACCTGATAAATGAAGCCCGAAGTGGTAGAAGTAACTAGAGGCAACGAACATGTTTGGCACTTCCTAACGTTGTGGACGATTTACTGATGAGCAAGCTGATGTTGTTATGATTCTGTCGATTCTGTCGATTTTTAACTCCTTTTATGATGGTACATGGATGCGCGCAGAGCTTGAATATCCTTAGCTGTTCCTGCGAGGACGTTGTCCACGTACAGGCATATGGCTGCGAGGCTGTCAGTTAACAAGTCGGTTGACGCGTAAGTCCAAAGCCAGATTAAAAGCGATCTTAAAAAAATGAATACCTCGGTGTGCCGAAAGGAAGCCACAGCATCTGGAACTGGAAGTGGAGCTTTTGCGATCTGGGAATCAACAACCATCAAAGAAAGGAAGGCACGAATATATGAAAGCGAGCTGCAAGAGAGTGGCACTTCACCTTAGAAGATTGGAAATCCAAAACAATGACAGGAAAAGACCGGCCATCATCGATGCCACGAGCAAATGCCGATGCCACTTTGCTGACGATAAGACACCCACCACAATGGCAATACAGGTCATTGCTTCAGCCAAGTCTGCCAGCAGCAAGGAGGAAAAGCTTGCCAAAAATGAATAAACAAAAAGCGAGCAATCGATTTGAGCTTACCCCCACAAACGATCTGACGTGAGTTTAATGTCCCAGAGAACACAGCGTGGTACTTCTGGAGAGAGTCATGGGGTCATGGACGTCAAAACAAGAACAGAAAAAAAAACACAGAAGAAGAAAAAAAAACGAGTAAGTTTTCACTTACAGTGCTCCATGGATCTACGGCCTGTTGGTGGGCCGAGTAAAAGAAGAATAAAGCACACGTAGCTGCAAAGGCTGCAAAAATCCCCTGGAACAAAAAGTTTATTAAGTGTCATAGCATTCGACGAGCCAAAGAGAGAAGGAAAAAAGGAGGACAAGCGTACCCGCCACAGCGCGTTTTGATATTTGTCTCGCTTCTCAAAAGAGTCCACTAGAGCTTCTTGTTCTAGAACAATCTCACACTGGAAAAAGCCTCACTTTTACGAGCTACACGTACCCTGTGTGTCGAGGATTTGAGAATCTGGAGCGTCCTGGCGAGCCGTGGGTAGCGCATCGCCAGCGCCATCGTTGCTCCATCGCCATCGCCTCCACGACATTTTCAAACCCTAGAACGAAGAATAATAAAGGAATAAGAGATCTCGGAAGGACGAAAATCTCCTGGAAGCGACGCGCTCTAGATCGAGCAAGGATCTGATTCTAGAACAAGGAGATTTACGTGGATGGCCATCGCTCATCGGCTAGAAGACGTTCTAGAACCCTACCCCAGAACAGGGGCAAGAAGAGCGGGAATTTTAAATTTTGGGGTTTTTTCGGGAGTTTTTTCTTGGTGGCTATGGCGCTGGCGAGCTCCGAGGCCTGGAAGACGCGCGCTCGCTTGGATTTTGAGGATATCCCTGATTGCTCATCGCATTCGAAGCCGCGCGTCTCTAGCGAGGCGAGGGAAATGTTCGAGGTCGATCAGCACCAAGAAGTTGAGGTAAGAAATCGTCCATACGCTTGATTTTGACAATGCCGCTTTAGAAATCGTTGGCACGGAGGTTTCTTACTGATTTGGCGAAAGGAGGGTTCGACTCTGGTGCTTCTTTCGGTATGGATCTTTTCTCTCTTTTCTTATGGAGCCTCCGATCGAATAAATTTTTATTAGAAAGCTTACAATCGGAGGTGATGGGCATGAACAACGGGAATGGCTCGACTATCAGTGAGATCAAGAATTTGATACAAACGATCACCAGAGGTTTTTTCTTTGCATTCCTCTTTTTTTTATGGTTTTTTTCATAGACCAACTCTTACACACATGTGTAGATGCGAAGGCCATGGAGACACTTCTGAGCTCTACAGAAAACTCCCTCGATAGTTGCGAACTCAATGTAAGAAAAAAATACTCTACTTGTCTCGAATTCATGCGTGTTTTCCAGATGAAAGACTACAAAAATAATCGGCTGCTCGGGGTAAAGAAATTTCAATCTTATGGCTGAACTTTTCAATCGAGTCTTCCAGGACGCAGTCACGTACAGCTCTAAGTATGAACTGGAGAAGATGATGCTCAAGGATAGCATTGAAGATTGCCGTTCTGAGGTGAAGCAGGCGCTAGTTTTATTTTTTCTTCTTTGCTCAATCGTGGTTTCTTTCTTTCTTCTTTATTTTTCTAAGGGTCTTCGGCTGGCAGAACAAATCGAGATGAAGCGGAGAGAACTCAAGCACCTTGAAAACGTAGCTAAGCTCAAGGACAGGTCCGTTTATACATTTTCCTACATGTGTTTTCTTCTTTTTATGTTTCTATCATTTGTGATCACAGCTATCTGCAGGACAACAAAATTCTCGAGGCTTTGAAAGGCGTATTAGTGCTTGGCATCTCTAGCGGGCACATAAGTCTCCAGCTTCGGACGTACCTGCCAGATTCAAGCAACGAGTCCTTCAAACTGAGAGACGACGCTAAGAAAATACCCGACTGCGCGATCCACGAACTCAATATCGTCTTCAACGCAGCAACGCTCTCCATTGCGGAAGCCGAGGTAAAACCCGAGCTTTTCAACTTCTCTGACATGCTTTTTCTTGCTTTTGCAGCTCAAACCCAAGGATGTGGAGATCAGTGAAATCGTCTCGGCTGTGCAAGAAGATGGGTACGTAGTAGTAGTAGTAGTAGCAAGCTTCTTAGAATTCATGAAAATGGATCACTCTTTTGACAGGGATTTCTTCGAGAAGGTGGCTTTCATCGTGAAAGAAGTCCAGAATCGTATTCGCTGGAGAAAGAGTGCGTCGTCGCGATATCACAGTCGTAACAGAAGGTAGCCTAGATTTCTAGGATGAGAACCATAGTAACTACATACTAGCTATCAAAATTTTCATTTCTTCCAAAGGTTTGTCCACTCGAGAGAAAATGCTGTACAAGTGTCTCGTGACCTAGCTTAGTCTAGGGATGTGGCTCCATGGCCATGGCGCATCGACTGGCGCGCTTGACGATTCGAGGTAAGATCGTCTCCACTCTCCCGGATTATGGAAGTAGTGGCTCCTGGTTTTCCAGAATTCGTCGCGAATCCTCGCCGCAATGCGGGTTTTTCTCCAGGAAATATTTCTTCCAGGAGCTGCCGCTGGATTCACTCGACTCGCTTCGTGAGATCCAGCGTTGTGTCATCGATTGGCGCTCGTGATCCAGAGGCAAGCTATGAGACGATCACTGCCGAGGTCGTGGAGAGCAAGAGCGTGGGTCTCTTGATGCTCAACAGGCCCCAGGTTCTCAATGCTCTCTCCGAGGTTTGCATGAGAGAGGTTGTCGCGGCCTTGAAAGGATTCGATGCCCTGCCAGAGGTAAGAAAGAATTTTTGCAAGAACTGAGTGGAAAAAATTTCTTCGCAGGTTGGAGCGATTGTCATCTCCGGTAAAGGCAAAGCGTTCGCTGCCGGCGTGGACATCAAAGAGCTCAAGAACAAGACTATGGTGGATTTATTTGTGAATCCTGTTCTTGATCAGTGGAACCAAGTTTCCAGGATTCGAAAGCCACTCATCGCTGCAGTGAACGGGTAAGCGATCATACCTTTGTGCTCGCCAAAAGTAGAATTATTTTCGTATGCTCTACCTTCCAGATATGCTCTTGGTGGTGGCTGCGAGCTTGCAATGATGTGCGATATCATCCTGGTCGGCGAGAAGGCCGTGTTTGGGCAGCCAGAGATTAAAATCGGGACGATCCCAGGCATGGGCGGAACCCAGCGCTTGATCCGAGAGGTCGGCAAGTCGCGAGCAATGGAGATGATACTCACGGGAGAGCGCTTCATGGATGCCAAAGAAGCGTGCCAACGAGGTCTAGCCAGCCGACTGGTTAGTGAAGTTCTTCCTTCTTCTGGAGTTTTAGATCGAAGGATCTCTAAATTCTGGTTCTGTGGAGTCGCAGATCGAAGGAACAAACGAGGAGCTCGTCGCCGAGGCAGTGGCGATGGCCAAGAACATCTCGGGCATGTCACGCCCAGCGGTGATCATGGCCAAAGCGGCTGTGAATGCCGCGTATGAGAGCCATCTCGAGGAAGGCGTCAAGAGAGAGCAGGCGTTTTTTGGAGCAACGTTTGGCTTGGAAGATCGCAGCGAAGGAATGGCTGCTTTCATCGAGAAAAGGAAGCCAAACTTCCAAAACAAATAGCTTAGTTGATCATAGAATATACCTTATTTGAAAAATAATATTCGAAAAGCTTAGGTTTAGGGCTAGGGTTTATCACGCCATGTCTCTCGCGAAGATCACGCGTCTCCTCCTTCCCAGGTTTTCGGATCCAGCGGCGACGGTGGCAGCAGCGGTAGCGTCCTTCGATCGGCGGCATTCTTTGTTGGCATCGATCGTTTCGGTTTCACGGATGCAGCAGGTACCGGCCCCAAATTTCGAGCAGCGGCTGCCAGGGGTAGTCCGCGATCTCGTTCCTCTCGACGAGGAGGGAGGAGGGATTCTCGAGTGTGGGCGCGGGGACAGGAGGACCAAACGGGGCAAGATTTCCAGAGGATCGTTTGGGAAATGCCGGCGCAATACCAAGAACGCGCTGCGGCGGCTTAGAGAGAAATGGGAGCTTCCCAAAGGAGCTCCTCTCCCAGCCCCGCACGAAATAGCTTAGCTTTCTAGTGGAAAGTTTCTCTGGTGGCTAGAATAAGAAGACCAAGGATTCCAACTTCCAAGTGTTCTATACTTCCAACAAGTGTCCTATACTCTCATTAAAACACACTACATGCTTTTCCGCAAATGGGCAACACCTCGATCATTGAAACAATTGCCCAGTTTGCATCTCTCACAACTAGTTATTAATACTTGCGAAACTTAGCTTGGCTTGAAATGCACGACTCCTACGCGGTAGAGGCTGGAACATCGCAAAATCAAGGCACTCGAAAACCAAAAGAACACAAGAAACGTACCAGAAGTCTTTGGAGCATTGCACTTGAAGCACTCGGTACGACTGGCAAAGTTGTGCTCGCTGCAGCTACACACAAACAGAAGCATGACGACGTAAGAACTTGGCTTGCAAGAAACTTAAGAGCACAAGAACGAAACCAAGAAGAGTAGAAAAGTTAGAGCTCGGGAACACTTCAATCAAAGCTTCTAACAAGTTAGAACGGTGAGAACATTTAGCAAGAAGAGCAATACAACTAAGAACTTGAATCGAGTAGAATAACACAGAACAAACTAAGAACTTGCAAAGAAACTCAGGAGCGCAAGAACAAAACCAGGAAGAGTACCAGGAAGAACTTAAACCAAAGCTTCTCACAAGTTAGAACAGTGAGATCATTCAGAAGAACAAAACCAGGAAGAGTAGCTTAGAAACCAGGAAGAAATTAAACCAAAGCTTCTAACAGCAGCAAGAAGAGTAATAGAGAAGCTAGAACTAAGAACATAGAATCGAGTAGAACCAAACCTCTAGACAAGAACCAAGAAAATCTCAACTTACCCAGTGCAAGTCCAGTCACCCATCCTCCATCCGGGCCTCCCATCCATGGACGCATTGTTCTCCACTTTCTCATTGCCACACTTGAAGCAAGTGCCACGGCTAGCAAAGTTGTGGGTATTGCAGGACGGGCAAAACCAGTCGCCGGGCTTGACATCCGCGCCGCCCCAGCCCCGATCAGCGCCCATGCTCATCGATCCACCGCCGCCGCCGCCGCCTCCCACCGGGCGAGGGTTCCCACAGCGCTGGCACGAATCGCGCCTGCTGAAGTTGAGATGGAAGCACGTCGCGCAGTCCCAATCCCCGGGCTTCTTCCCCAAATCAAAATCGGAGGAGTACCATGCCTTGCCCCCACCTGTGAGCGCCGCGCGAAGCCGCGTGAAGATCGTGCCCGCCGCCGGGGCAAGGAGACGATTCCTGGCAGCGCCCAGCATTTTCCTCTCTTCTCTCTCGAGCCCAAAAACCCTAGGGCCGCCGGTTTAGGGTGTAGGGTTTTGGGTTTAAGCTTTAACGGCTCCACAAGATGCTGCCACGTGGCATAGGATTTAGGGTTCTTGCGCTAACTTTAATGACTTGGGATAGAACGCAATGCATCGACCTCATCAAGTCTTGTAACTCGCTCTCTAGCGCCAAATCTCTCCACTCGCGCCTCCAGCTCTCGTTCGAATCGGATGTCTACGTGCTCAACCGGGTCGTGCAGATGTATGGGAAATGCGGGGGCGTGGAGCAAGCCTGGATTGTGTTTGATGGCATCCAGAACAAGAACGATTTCTCGTGGTTTGCGATGCTAGGCGTTTACATCCAGAATGGGAGAATTGCGCAGGCCGAGTCGTTCTTCGATTCGATGCCGCGGTGGGATCTGTTTGTGTTGACGTCGCTTCTTGTTGCATTTGCCCGATCTGGGAATTTGCCAAAAGCCAAGGCCTTGTTTTACCAGATGCCTGAATGGGATGTTCTCTCCTGGAACTCACTTCTTTCCATGTATGCGAAAAATGGAAACCTTGTTAAGGCAAAGGATGTCTTTGATAATATGGAAGAAAGAAATCTCTCCTCTTGGAACTCGTTACTATCTGCTTATGACCAAAACGGGCATCTTGAAGAAGCTAGATCAGTGTTTAATACCATGCCTGAGCGAAGCATGGTATCTTTCTCTGCCATGCTAGCGGCATATTCCAGCCAAGGGCACATTGAAGAGGCGAGAGCGCTGTTTGATTCTCTCCCGGAGAGGGATATGGTGACGTATACAACGATGCTTTCGGCATATACGCATCACGGGCATCTTCACGAGGCAGCATCTCTCTTTGGCAGAATGGACGTCCACGATCTCGTGTCATCCACGGTCATGCTGGGAGCGTTTGCTCAAAGAGGAAATGTTACAGCCGCCAGGAGAATATTCGACACAATGGAGCAACGGGACTTGGGATCCTTCAATGCAATGATCTCTGCTTACGTGCAAAACGGGCATCTCGACAATGCGAGGTATTTGTTCGACCGTATGGAAGTGTGGAATATGGTGACGTGCTGTACCATGACAACAGCATATGCCCAAACTGGGCATCTTGAAGAAGCAAAACACGTATTTGAGAATATGCCCGATCAGAATGTAGTGACGTGTAATTCCATGCTGTCAACTTATGCCGCAAACGGCCACGTGGAGGAAGCTAAGCAGGTGTTTGATTCGATGCCTGAGACTGACGTGATCTCATACACTGCCATGCTTTCAGCATATTCCCAGAACGGGCATCTCGATGAGGCGAGGAGATTCTTTGATTGGATGGGAGAACGCAATGTGGTGTCCTGGAATGCAATGGTATCGGCGTATTCGCAAGCTAGGAATCTAGAGAAAGCCAGGGAAGTCTTTGATAGGATGGACGTGAGGGACTCGGTGACGTGGACTGCTATGCTGGCAGCATATTCCCAGAGAGGTCAAATGCACCATGCCCAGAAGCTCTTTGACCAGATGCCTGAAAGATCAATGGAGGCGTGGACGTGTCTCATCGGTGGGTATGCACAGAATGGGCATCCCAACAATGCTTTGGAATTATTCCCAGAGATGAATGCACTTAACACCACACCCGACGAGATCTCTTTCATTTGTGTGCTTCTCGCCTGTAGCCATGCTGGAAAAGTATACAATGGTCGAAGCTGGTTCTTGTCAATCACATTGGATTTCCAAAGAAGTCCTGGGAAGCTACATTATAGCTGCATGATCGATCTTCTTGGCCGTGCTGGATACCTCGACCACGCAAGAGATCTGATCAAGGGCATGCCTTTTGCTCCGGATGCACTGGATTGGATATGCTTGCTTGGGTCTTGTAGAGCTCACAAAAACGCCCAAATTGGATCCCATGCCATGGAGGAGGTGATTGCACTGAATCCAAAGAATGCAGCAGCATATACCTTACTTGCCAACACAAATTTTGATTCCTAAAACTAAATTCTAGGGTTACCCAAGGCACACAGCACTGGACAACCGCCAGCCTGCGATCGCCCCAATGGCCATGGCGGCCGCCAGCCTTTGAAAATCCTTGAGTGATGCCGCGGCCAAAGCTGTCTAAGCTCAAAGGGAACAGCGCCGGAGCTGGAGGACGAGGAGGAACAGCAAGAGAAGAAGAGGATCGAGCAGCGGTGATCTGGGCCCAGCTCTGCGGTGGACGATCTCAGCTCCCTGATCTAGGAGTTCTTCCAAGAAGCAAGCGTGGGGGAGCCAGCAATCCAGATCGCACTCACAGCAGCAAGTAGGAGCCACATCTCGGCTTCGCAACCTCGAGAACCGAGCATTGTAAACAAATGGTGGTGTAAAAGCATATAGGGTTCAATTCCTGCTCAGTCCATGATGCTTTTTTGGTTTGCTTAAGCGATGGTAGTGAATATATCTAGAATATGCTTGGATATTCTAGGATATTCTACCACTTAATGGTTGGTATTCATTTAGATTAATTTGGTATTTATAATTTAAAAACTTTCCTAAACCCTTTTTAGTATATTCTTTTTTATTCTATCATTTAATGGTTGATATACAATAAGATTAATCTTGTGTTTATAAATTACAAACATGCTTATAATTATAAACTTTATTTGATCAATTAGATTAATAAGTAATAATAAAACTACCATTAAGAAAACCAAGCATTGCTACATGCAATGCGTAGCAATTTATTATCCTTTACTCTAAAAAGTTTAATTATTATCTAAAATATATAGCTTTTAATATACAACATAGTTGTAAAAAGATCTCTATAAACATTTATCTAAGATATAAAATATATTAAGGTTGTATATCAAACTATATTTATAAACTATGCTAAATTTACTATTACAAAAGATACTTCAGTTAGTAATATATTTAACTATATTGGTAAACTTTGCAAATGAGATAAGAGATAATAGTATAACATAGATTCATTTCCCTTTTGAATTGCTTATTTAAACTTATATATAAAATTTTGGAGTGCCAGGCTACAACTTACATTTCATTAGACTCTATAAAAATAGTGAGCACTTTGTTCGAACAGAACTTCATCTAACCTTTGGTATAATATAACTTTGTGTTCACATTATTTTAGACTTGGATAAAATGCTTTCTTGAAATTATTGCTTCTTGGCTTCATTGGGTTGGGTTTAGAGCTAATATAATCTGAATATGTGAATGTTAGTTTTAATGATGTGGGCTAAAGGTTTATGAAGGCGTTATTATAATTTAATTGTTTAATTATTTTTCAAGCTTGATAATTATATAAATTCAAAGCAAACTAAGCATGCTAAACACAACAAACTATTGTGAGTGCATAGGATATAGACGTGGAATACAAAAATGTGAATATCAATTAGCCCAAAAACCTAAGCTTATATACAAGAGCGAGTGGTCTGGATTGAGATCAATTTGATCATTTTTAAAATTATATTAGTATATAACATCATAACTGTACACTTAAATCCAATGGAAGAATTTATAGCTCAACTTACAATGCCATTCTCCACTCAAACTTAGCAGCAACCACAAGTAAAAGAGAAGCAAAAATTCATCTCTATTCCCTATGGAATTTCACTCACTAATTTAAAATACATTACTCCAAGGAAAAAGCAAAGAAAAACAAGGTAGAAGAATATGCAAGAAGAAAAACTGAATGGGAAGCTATAACAATTGAGAAAGCTTATGCAAAAGAAATAAAAAAAATTGATTGATAAGAAGAGTTATAAGAGAAGGCAATATTAAGGCAACTTAAGGCAAAACAAACAATAGTAGTGAACAAAGCACAAAAATTGGAGAGGGAGAAAATGAAAATGAACAAATAAGTTGGACTTGTTGCAAAGAAAGTTTTAAAGAGCCTTTATAAATAGGGATTAAAAGTAGCAAGAATATAGAACAAACAACATCTTTCAAGTCTCTTCAACAAGACCTTAAGCCAAATATTAAGCCCAGGGAGGAAATTCTAGCACTATGAGCTTGGAGAGCTTCTTTACAAGTAACTACCTCTACTCATTAATTCTTAATTGATTTTGCATATCTTAATCCATCCTAATTACCCTAAAACTCAAGTGTGGTTTTTGAATGGTTGAACCTTATTTTTCTGTACTGTTTTTCTCTCTTGATTAAAGTGGATATGTATGGATTTCCACTTTAAATTTTTTTTTGAGATACCCCATAGTAAGCATATACTATGAGAAAAAAACAAGTTTGGATTGAAAAACTCATGTAATACACTTTAAAAAATTCTGATTGGCTGGATTGTATAAGCACCCTCTCTACTTTTGGCACTTCAACAAACTCTAGATCACCAAGTAGCTTTAGTTTGTCCAGGCCATCTACTCATCCTCATCCAAGCTCTCCTTCTTGTCCTTAAGTTTTTGATCACCAAGTAGCTTTAGGTTGTCCAGGCCATCTACTCATCCTCATCCAAGCTCTCCTCCTTGTCCTTAAGTTTTTGATCACCAAGTAGCTCTAGATTGTCCAAGCTGTCCCTCACTCCCTACTCATCCCATCAAAGCTTCCTGCTCATCCTCATTAAAACTATCTGTCCTCATCAAAGCTCCCTCCTCCTCCTTGTCCAAACTGTCCCTCCTCGTCAAAGCTCCCTCGATCAAAGCTCCTTCCTCATCCAAGTCCTCCACTAGATCACAACCATTCTTATTGTCCAAGTCATCATTTCTAGATGGAGCTTCTAAGAAATTTTTCGAAACTGACCTGGTTCTCATCCTCCTGCAGCGTGCACAATAGCAAATTTTCATCAGATTGAGCTTAGATCGAGATAACCCTAGCTAAGTGCTAATTACGCTTGGAAATCTTATAGGTGTTAATTTTCAGTTCCCAGCTAAGAAATTATAGTGTAATCTCTTTACACTGCTAATATACATTTCCTACCTAATATTCATGCTTAGTAAATGTAAACATGAAAAACCATTTTGCATGTGTTTTTTGTCTGTGGTTTTTTGGTTTTCTTTCCATAAAACGGGATAAACGGGTGAGAAAAATTATGAGTTACTATTTTCTTAAGGATTAAGTAGGCCTTTAGATTTCTTTGATCGAGCTCTTTAATTGGACCGGAGAGAAAACTAAGGTGGAGGTTCCAGGGTTAGGGTTTTAGCATGCCAGGGCAATGCTGAGCTTGAAGAAATGCAGGGAGCGTTTGCTCGTACCGTGCAATGCGAGGCTCCTGGCGACTGGCACGGGAGGCGGCGGAGGCGATTCCAAGGGCGGGGGCCGCAAGGGCGGGATAGATTTCGATGCGCTCTTCAAATCGGTGAGTAGGCCACAGGAGAAGAAGGAAGGGGCGGGCGAGCCGATCGATTTCAAGAAGCTGTTTGGGAATACTGTGGCGGACAAGAGCCAGTTCAAGCTGGATCTCACGCCCCCCAAGCGGGAGGGAGGGACGATCGACAGTGAAAAGCTCAAGATTGATCTCAGCAAGCTGTTCGCTGATAGTCCTGGCACTAGAACAACGCCTGGCGATGGGGGTCTCAAGGGATTCAAGCTCGATTTGTCCAAGATCAAGAGCAAGGCTCCTCAATTGCCACCGAAAGAAGGAACTACCAGCGCCGCTCAAGATGTTGCGTGTACCATTTTCTTCTCCTTGCCTTCAAAAATTTTGACTTTGCTCTTCGTTATTTGCAGTGAAGAAGATGGGCATTTTGAACAAGTTTGCTGATGTCACCGGCCCGAGTCTCAAGCCTGTTCCTCCAAAAGATCATCTTTTGGAGAAGGTTTTGTTTTCCTTTTTGTCTCGTTTTTATCTTGCTCCTTTTTCCTGCCTCTTGCAGTATCTTGCTCCGGAGAATATGTCCGCGGCCGAGTTTCAAAAGATCGAGCTACAGAAAGTGAGAAGCGAGTTTAAGCTGCATGATGCCGACTGTGGTTCCTCTGGAGTCCAGAGTGAGTGTTTTCTATTCTCCTTTTCTGGTTTCTTCACTTATTCATCGTGCCTTTGTTTTACTCCGAAGTTGCAGCGCTGACGAAGAAAATGAGCTTCCTTTCCAAGCATCTTATGACACACAAAAAGGCAAGCTTGTTTGATTTATTATCTCGAAGGACGCAAGCTAAGAAATCTGGAAATGCAGGACGTCCCTTCGCGTCGAAGCATGAACACAATGGTCCAGAGGCGGAGAAAGCTCATGATTTATCTCCGGCGCACCGACTGGCCGATGTACTGCTACGTGATCAGCCGATTGTTACTCAAAGATAGGATCCAAGTCTCCAACCGAGCGATGCAAGCGGGCACCAAGAAGAAAACCATGAAGGACAAGCGGCGAAGGAAGAAGAGGAAGGTGAAGAAAAGCGAGAAATACAGGAAGAAAGCTAACGACGTTTGATTGAGGTACGAGACTTACATTATTTATTCTTTCGAATGTTCCAAGCTTTAGAAAATGTCTTTCAGGCTTGAAGCGACTTGGAAAGGAAATTCCTTGTACAATCTGTGGCAGACTAGCGCTCCCAGCTTTCACTTATTTCCTTGAGCTCATCCCAGAAAGGTACCTACAAAGTTCGAGTTTTGTGGGATAACTTTGAAGTCTCTGTTTTGATTGAGCTGAAGGACTAGAACTCGAACTTTATAGGTGTTTTCATTCTCTCGTCATGATCCCTGGCGATATCTCTCCCGCTCGAGCAGTGGTTTGGCAACCAAAACCTCGCTCTCACTGATCGAGCTCGAGTCTGGAGCAAAGCTCGGGAGCACGAGGTTACACTCCTCTCCATAAACTTTCCCCGTGAATTCTTCACTTGATATCACCACACTGGGTTCCTGGCACCGTTGAGTCTCGTCTAAATCCTCCCTGTCAAAGCTTGGGTCTGGAAGAGCACGCCTAGTCGGAAATCAGAATAATAAAGCTTTACAAAGCTAGATTTTTTGTTTCCTGGCCTGATCCCGTTATGCTCTAGTCGCCAAAAGTTGATGGCTCATTAGATGCATAGATGGAAAAAATATGTCAACTATCCAATGACTTTTAAAATGTATTTTATAATGGGTTAAGGCTTGATTGATTGTGGAAAAGGGTAAAAGAGGGTTAGTAGTGTAGGGTTTGATTGTGTAAGGCTGTGTGAGGAGCAATTGCAGAGGCTGCAGTTTTGGCAGGGTTGCCAATTGAGGTTGCAAGGCATCTTTTTGGCAGCAGTGAGTGCTGGGATAGGGCAACCAGTGTGGAGTAGCCATTGTTTTGGTGCATGCAATCAAGAATATCAATAGCAAACCAGTTCACAGGTATAGTTAAAGTGGTTTGTGTGCATAACTATCTTACAACCTCTACCACTTTTTTGTTGGTAGCAATGATATCAGAAGAGTATCATTGCAAAGGGCATAAACATTTAGCTGAGCAATTTGCACAGTTTCTTGGTGATGATGCATTGATAGTGAAGGTTACAAAGACACACTTTCGTCAAAGCCCCCTTCTAGTAAGCTATTTTCAAGTTTATATTCTTTTATTTCTTGTTTTTTATTGTAGAGTGTGAAGCCAAGTTGGGGGCTTGCAATGTTTGGACATACTAAGCACATTGTGGAAGTGACTTGTGGTGATAATGGTATGTAATTCCATATAAATTTTGACTATGTCATTAATAGGTTCTTCTTTTTCTTTAGGAAAAACATTTACACTCCGATGGGGTGGGAGGAGGGAATTCCTAGGAGGCAAGGATTGGCTGTACTATTGTGATGATCGTGGGCTAAAGGTTGATGATTATATCGTGCTTTACTCCCCAAATCCAGATAACATGCATATTTGGGCTTTTCCTTCTGCAATTGCATCTCAAGTGGTAGAGAGGCCTTTACCACTCAATCTGTTCCACCTTACTGCACCATCTATTTCTATGGAGACTGGTGTGGTAGTGAAGGAGATGCAAACACCACCTATGCCTATGATAGAACAAGCTCCAAGTGTTGAGTGCACAAACTTTTCGAAGTAGGTATTTTTTTTTCATGGTTTAAACAATTTGAATTTTCTTTGTAGGAGCATAATGGCTAATGATAGTATGCAAGTTAAGGGTGTTATGCAACCAAGGGCTGAATTTCCTAAGTTATCTTGCTTACGATTTCTTGCATGGTGAGACATTTTAAAATAATGATAACCTTGTTGTGTGGTATGCAATACAACCATAAATTTAGTGGTAAACCACTAATAAGCTAGAACATGTATACATTTTTAAGATAGGTACCACACACAATAATACAATAAAACGTTGTATAGTATAACTATTATTGTGTATGATTGTCTTTTTCTATAATGGGCCATGGTGGGTAATGTTATTTAGTGGCATATGATTCTCTAGTAGCACTTGGTGCTAGAATGTTGTGTTTTAGTATTGCTTTACTTCTTTCCTTTATCCTATCTTTCTCTCAAGTCTAAAAGTTGGGCAAAATTACTTTTAATATATGTGGTTTTGACTTTATACCTTATAGTGAAATACCATAGAATAATCATGGATTGAAATCTAACCCTTAGACACATGTGTTAGGGTAATGAGTGGGACTTGAGTTTCAAAGCCTTGGGCCATTAAATGAAGGGATGAAGCTAAATTCCCAAGTGTTACATAGGATGTATAAGATGTATTATATTGATGTCCTTGCAATGCATATTCTAGCCTAGACCATTACTAATAAAAAAACTCCAAAAAAATTCACAATGTTCATATTCTATAAGAAATGCACCAACTTAAATGAGTTATAAAATTATATCTTTGTTTACACAAAATGTGCTAATACTCAGATATTGCGTTTGTGATGTGGATCTGGCAATGGAGTTCCATACATGTTATATAGTCAACGAGATGTGATAATCTAACCTTAACCAATAAAGAAGTGACTAATGGAGTCAACTACCTTTGTTGTTTTGGATGTCACTCAAGTTACAAAAATTGATATGCCTTTATTTATAGGTGATATAGAGAAAGAAGCCACCCCTTATCAAACAAGCCAAAATAATTAGTAAAGTTTAAATAGACTATTATAGATAAGTAGTTAGAATTGTTTACACAATCACACTCTTTTCACAAATAAAAATATCAAGAGAGAAGCAAGTGATGTGATTAGCTTCCCTATAATTAGAGTTTTCACTAAGCATATAAAGTGTCACAATGTAGCACATATAGTTTTCACCCTTTACCCTATGATAATTACCACAGGATAACCATGAAGCAAAACATAAACCCTTGGCCATGTGTCCATGGGCAGCAGAGTGGAACTTGAGTTTTAGGGTGTTTAAGCCACTAAAGGAAGGGACTAAGCCAAACTCTCAAATATATAATTGAGTGAAGGAACCATAGTATAAAATAACTCTCAAGTAGTGAGCCTAAGGAATGGAGGGATAAAAGCACAAAGTGACATTAGAATAGTCTTAAAACACTTAGCATCCTATCATCAAGACCAACATGCAAAATAGAGTCAAACATGGTTTAACAATATTTTAGTATACTAGTAGTCTAACACAAGAATATAAATACTCCACTAACTAGCATCTAGGTTATACCTCAAAGCTCAAGTTTTAATTGTAGTTTAATACAAATATTATAAACTTTAAAATATTAAGGTTATGGCAAACTTAATAATTTCATAACTCTTTACACATTATATTGATAAAAGTGTTCTGAAGGACACTTCTTGTTCTAACAATTTAAATATTTACTACATTCTATAATACGATGTATGTTAGAATATAAACTAAGATGTTTGCAGAAAAAATATCCTCATCACTTCCTTGATTTTGTACTATGTGCTTTCTAACTAGTAAATATTAGGTGTATCAGAATTTTAAAATTATTAAATTTGAAATAAGATTCTATATAAGGCCATATAACCGTATAAAAGGAAAAAAAACAACTGTTAATGTAAGCTTGTTGTATATAAAAGAGAGACTTAGTTTTTTCTAAAATACATTTTTGAGGGATTTATCATAACATACTATCTAGAATTTATGGATTTTCACTTACACTCTCATTCAAAGAGAGGGAAATACACATAAATGTCTGTGGATTCTAGTGTTGGTAATTTTAACTTTTGCAATTTCTTTTTCTAAGGTTTAAGGGCTAAGAGATACAATAGCTATCCCATTGTACAGCATAATTAAACCACACAAGAGAAAAAAAGAAAGGATAATGAAAATAGTGATTATATATTGAAGATAAATGTAATAACAAAGGGTGTAATAAATTGGGTGAAAAGAATGCCTCCTATTTATTTTAGAAAATTGTAATTTTGTGACTTTTAAGAAATGTTTCATATATTTTCTGACTTCTGGTGGAAATAATGGCGAAGATCAATATTGGTATATATGTTCTCATGACACATTACAATATTATGCACCTAAAAGACTCATAAAATATTTTTTGAGATGGTAAAGATAGAAATGGAGATATATGATAACTATGGGAAGTATTATGAAAAGAACACATGTAAATATATAAATAAAAAGTAAAATGAAAAAATATTTATTTATTAATTATATAAAGTATAATAAGTTTATAGCAGTGATAGAGAATAAACATTAATAGTCTTGGCAAATCTAGTTAACTTCAAAAGTCTTTTACGATTCAACACTAGTAAAGCTTGTTTGGTGAATATGAATGTCCACTTTAGGATTCTAGTGTAAAATGTTGATAAAAATGTAGTATATATGCTTGTAAAGAGTATATGCCTTCCCATGTTCCTCAGTACAAAAAGAAAAGTTTTAAATGGCAATTGTGTGCTCTCTACTTTTTATTTTGATTATATACTCCTTTACAAGCACAGTGATATATTTTATGGAGAGAATCTTACACTTAAACATTTGAGTCAAGCCTATTTTATTTTGCTTCTACTTAGAGATTGTACTTACCTTTTCTTATTAGTCTCTTATGCATCTTTATGGGAATAATCCTGGTTCTATCATTTATATCTCCAACTCTCCTCTCAAGATTGAAACTAAATTTCTCAAGGTTTTCAATTTCATTCAAGGTGAGTGCAACCCCATTAGCAACTAGCTATTCTTTAGGTACTTTATGAAGTTTAGTTACTGTCTTTAAGCCACTTTGTATGGTTGATATCGGTGTTGCAATAATACAACCAACACCATCTTGAAAATCTTGTTTGCTTTTGTGCCCCATAAAAACATAGGGTTGGAACAAAAGCAAAATATGGATCCAAGCCTAACATTTGCCCTTCGGTAGCATCCCCACACACCTTATATTGGATTTTGCTAACACTTGGTGGATTACCCATTATCTTAACTCCACGCTAGAATAAACAATTTCAACCTATTGTAATGCACTTTTTTCATCAGCCATTTGAGGTGGCTCAGTCCAAGGGTGGTGCCTTAGAGCAAAATGGTATTTAACATTAGGTTTGTGAAAACGTTTTGCTCTAAGGTCCGTGCTAACATCTTCACCAATAAAGGAAAAGCGACACTTTGAGCAAAACAATCTTCATATCACTAATAAAAGCCTAGGGAGTGTGCTCTATAGATGTGCCATGAACCACTTCCTCAACTGTAATTGCCATTATTCGGGTAAGTGGAATTAATTTTCTCTTCATCCTAACATATAACATCTTAATAAAAGATCTTGTTACCATATATCTTCCTTCCTTGAATGTTAATGCTTTTAAAGACTACTTTATAACGTATATCAAATTTGATAGATAAGTTTTGTATAGATTCATTTTCCCTTTCCCTACCTCAGAGGAACACCAACTCCAGTACTTTTGGAGAGATTCATAATTGGGGTGTATAAGAAGTTCTTAAATGGTTGATCATAATGGAAAAGACAATATTAAGAAGCAATAAAATGAGAAGAAAAATAGAAACTAACCTGAAGAGAGTGATGTCCCCACTAGAACATCCTAACTTCCCACCACCCTAACCAAGACTCAAGTTGTGGTAAATAACTTATATCTATATGACTACCTTCACGCCACCATATTCAAATTTCATTTATTTTTGCCTTATGCTCTTCTTCAGAAGGTGCAACTTGCTATTATTTGCATAACTCCTTAAATATTGATTGAAACTCTAGCTTGATAAGGTGGTAATATTGGTTTAGGCTTTGAGCTCAATGGAACACATAAGTCCTCTCATAACCTTCCAATAGCTGACCATTTTTAAAAACTACTCAGACACCATTCTAGTTTGCACCATCTGCCATAAAACTGCAAAAGTTTATAGGCTTACCAATTTGCTTTAGTACAATATCAAAAAAGGATTTCTAAAATATTTCCTAGGCTATTTGGTCTTGTACTTTAAACATTGCTGTCGCAATTATCAAGTTATATGTATCTTATTAAAACACAAATATTACAACCCTTTCAATATAATAAGAATAAAAATTACTTTGGATCAGACTTATTGTAGATATCTTGAAGATGAAGGAGCACTCTTGTTCATTCACAATTTAGTTTAGAAATAAACTTTTATAGATGAACTCATATGAATAAGTCTATTTTAGTTCAAGGATGGAGTCAATTTTTTATTGCAACTTCTCCTCTCAAGACTCATACATCTAAGATTTTATCCTAAACAATATAATGTAAAAAAAAAAATTATTGTAACATATAAAATACAATGGACTTACCTCCTTAGGCTAGTAGCAGGTTGCAAACACCTTACTCAATCCAAGCTGCTAAAAAACTCAACTAAACAAAACTAGCTTGTGGGATTTACTATAAGGAGTTTGCAATAAAATCCTTGAGAATGGTCTTCTAAATATGTTTTGGAGTTGTAAATGAGTTTTCACAGTCTCTTCTTGCACAACATCTTTGAAACAATTGAAAGAACTCCTTTATATCCCTTCTTACATTGGATGCATATGTATGCCAACATACACTGTAGCTCTTCTAGCCACTCCATCTTATAGAAGAAAGTAATACATTTTGGCCTTGCAGATAGCACAACATAGAGGAACATTTTTGTAGAATCAACACTTGAATTCAATAGCAATAGTATCATAGGCAGGAGGATTGATTACAAACCCTTCGAAAAATATAAAATTTTTATAGCGATCTTGACTGCATGTTTCATCTACGTAATCTAAATGCCCACCATAATAAACTATAAACACTGTGCATTCAAAATGTTAGAAAT